TTAAACACTTATAAACCCTAACTCAATTAAGTTTCATTCGTGCTATAAGTAGGTGTGATTGTTTAAGTTTGTGATGTGAAAATATGTGAAATAAAAAATTTTAAAAAATAGAGTGATATATAACACATTATAATTTTTTATAATGTGTTATAATCCAATTTAGGTGAATGAAAAAATAACGTTATCCCTAGACTTTCGTCCAATAATTACATCCAATTCTTTGGACTTATAATATATGATATACGACTCAGATTTGGGTAGGAGACGAAGTTTTCTCCCAAAAATGAGCGTTTATTTTATATTATAGGAATAAAAAATTGGTACTAAAATTCGTAATTATTGGATCTGTCCTTCTCAGACGGGTTAGGAATATAATTGTGCATACATCCAACTTTGTATACTTTGTATATTTTCATTCTTGAAAGTTTTGGCAGCACCTATTCGTTGTTCTCCGTGTACAATAAGCGTATGTTGTTCTACGTTTCGGGTTATTACTGATACGCATAATAACATCCGCACAGTGTACAGGGAGAACAGCGGGTAGGTGCTGCTGAAATTTTTAAGAAATGAAAATATACAAAGTATATGAAGTTGGATGTAGGCACTACTATATTCTTAATGGATAGAAGCCTTTCTATGACAGCCGCAAGATGAGTGTAATTAGTTTCTACATATGTTTTATATATATTTTATGTAGATAAATATTCATATTGTTAAATGATATATGAACGTATGTTTGATGTGTGTTGAATGTATAAGAGTCATGGATGTACTAGTAGTTGTGAGATTAATTGTAGTTAATAATTATAGATAATTTACAGATGAGGATAATTCCTAACAAATCATGGATCGATATCCTACGGCTTCATAGATTTTGTGACACATGATACAAGGAGGGATGTGACGCCTTCATACGTTATGTTGAAATGAATCCGAGAAATTTAAGAAGCGGTGCTATGTATTATCCTTGTTGTAGGTGTAGGAATATGAAGCTGCTGAATAGAAATGATATACGGATCCACCTAATGAAATCAGGTTTTGATGAAAAATATAAATATTAGAACTGGCATGGGGAAGGTATCACTGAAGATGAGGATCCAAATGTGCGTGTTGGTACGTCCGGTGGCCAACGAATAGATGACACAGAAATAATGTTGAATGATATTTTTTCTCGACCTATAGAATATGATGTTGATCATAATGTCGAGGATGATATCAGAGATAAAAGTGAAGATGATATTGAAGTTGAAGCTGAAGAGGTTGGAGATGTCGAAAGTGCCGAAAATATTGATGATATGCATTCCTCCGTAGAAATAAAGCGAATTATGGAGCTACTAGAAGATAATAAAAATGACTTATATGAGGGATGTACCGAGTACTCCATATTTTTATTTATGCTGAAACTCCTACATATTAAGACACTTAGTGGTATGTCAGATAATTATTTTGAAATGCTTCTTGATTTTCTTTGGACTGTAATTCCTAGAGAAGAGAATAGCATATCCCAAACAACTTATCAAGCTGAGAAGATTGTCTCCGCTCTGGGTCTTGATTATAATAAGATTGATGCATGTCCGAATGATTGTATTTTGTACCATAAAGCCAGTAAAGACCTTCAAGAGTGTCCGACATGTGGAGTTTATAGGTGGAAGCAATGCACAAATTCTTCAACAAGGATTACAACAAAGACATGGCTAACACAGAAGAAAATTCCAGCTAAGGTGCTTCGACATTTTCCATTGGCTCCTAGATTGCGAAGATTGTACATGAACAAGGAAATAACAAAGAATATGAGGTGGCACAAGGAAGATCGAGTTGATGATGGTAAATTGAGACATCCTGCTGATGCTTTAGCTTGGAAGCATGTTGATAAATTTTATCCTCGTTTTGTCGAAAATTACAAAAATATAAGACTGAGTCTATCAAGTGACAGATTCAATCCATTTAGGGTAATGAGCTCTGGCTGGTCTACATGGCCAGTTGTATTATGCTATATAATTTACCTCCATTACTTTGTATGAAACAGCCATTTATGATACTTTCATTACTGGTACCCGGTAAGCATGCACCAAGAAATGATATTGATGTCTACTTAGAGCCTTTGTCTCGTGTTACAATATCAAATGAGCAGATGCAATGGTTTTGTGAAATTCTTAAATCGGTAAAGTCACCGGATGGTTACTCTACTAACATTTTAATTAATGTCTAGGTGCAAGAGAGAAAACTCTTAGGTCTGAAGACCCATGATTATCACGTTCTTCTTCATCAATTGCTCCCTGTTGCAATCTGTAACAATATGGAGAAAGAAGGGTCGAAGATTATTATTGAGTATTGTGGATTCTTCAGAAAATTATGCTCTAAAGTCATAGATGTAGATGAATTTTAAAAAATTGAAGCCGAGGTCTGAGTTACTCTATGCAATATGGAAGTAATATTTCCTCCATTTTTTATAATTATGGTCCATCTTACCCAGCATCTTGCAAGAGAGACTAGAATCGCCGGTCCTGTTACTTATCGTTGGATTTATCCGATTAAAAGATAATTTACGGTTTTTGTTACATTTATTAATTGTATATGTGTTTTTAAAATTATCGTGCTAATAATTAACTCTTCTTATGATTCTAAGATACTTGGGCTCCATGAAACACAATGTTCGCAATCGAGCTCGTCTCGAGGGCTCAATAGCTGAAGGATATGTGGCTAACGAATGTTTTTTGTTTGCATCACATTACATACGCAAGAAGAAAACCACATCTCAAGCACCTGATAAGGAGAGGAAGCGTGAAAAATATCAAAGATCTCTCTTAGATCAAATTCATGCATATGTGTTGGAAAACCTTGATATGTTCGCAGACTATCAAAGGTAACAAATAAAATTAGTAATATTGATGAGAAATATTCATTTTATATATAGTTTACCAATACAAACTTATATATTGTTTATATAGGCGACATCTGGAGAAGCTTAAGAATGAAACAACCGGTAGGATTGCAGTGCATAATATTCAGAAAAGACATAAGAAAGAATTTTCTGATAGGTTAAGAATTAATGTAAGTGTTTTACAATTAATTATTTAACATTCATAATATAACACCACCTAAATATTCTCAAATTGTTTAGCTTAGGTTAAAAAATCACTTCTTGATGGTACTATGTTACCAGATGAAATTATTATCCATGCACAATGCCCTTATCATGAAGCGAGACGTTATAATGAGCATTTAGTCAATGGATATAAATTTCGAATGCTAGAGACCGATGATAGGAGGATAACTCAGAACAGTGGGGTCATGGGTTTGTTTGCTCAAGAATGTTTTTCAAGTATAAGAGTTTAAAACCCAATTCTAACTAATATACTATATTATGGCCAATTAGAAGATATTGTTGAGGTAATTTATGGGTTTAGTAAATCAAAACAATATAGTTACACGATGTTCAAGGTTCGGTGGTGTCCTGCAAAAAAGCAAAAGGATCATTATGGATTTACACTAGTCAATCTCCACCGAGAAGTATATACGGATGAAAATTTTATTTTTGCAGAACAAGTTGATCAGTGCTTCTTCGTGAAAGATCCGAATGTCATGTCTGATTGGGTGGTTTTGTATAAGGAGCCAAGATCTGTTGTTCTTCCTAATAACAATGAAAAAAATATTAAAGAAAGTGAAAATACTTATAGTGAACCAATTGGGTCATCTGATGACGTTTGGCAAGAATTCTCTTACACACAGAATGTGGCGCTAGATGTAGGTATGAACTATATATGTTACACTGTATTACCGATTTTCAGCTTATCATAACAAAAACAATAATGCATTTCATAATAACATATATCATGAGCATGTATACAATTTTTTCTTAACTATGTTAATAATTAAATTTGCAGATGAGGAGGGCGAGGAGGCTCTTTGGCCCAGAGGGTGATCGATCACGGAGTATCACCCCAGGTACGGGTGCTAATGATACACTACCATCTCCGGATGCAGGTATAAAAATTAATTAATATTTTAATATATTTTATAAATTATTAGTTATCTAGCTTATAGTGTTCATTTGTTGCAGATGCGGGTTATTCATCACCCGTCCCGTCTGATGCAGCACTAGAACTATCCCCCGATGCAGGTATTCAATATTTAATAATTGATAATGATCAATTAAAAATTCATATTAATAATTCTCCTTTCTTATGTATGTGCTTCTTGGACCCTGACATATCCATCCTATAAATTCCATACTGACTTGCAGCCAAGAGGAATGAGGGCGATAATTCGGATGAATAGTTCTAATTTGTTCGTTGGTCCTTGCTCGACCTAATTGAATGCATATATTAGGGTTCTTGTGCATAGAGCGAACATTATCAACCCTTATTTTCATTTCCGAGAACTACCATGGACCGCATACGAGGCGATATGGACTGAGCTTATGGTAACTGCATATTGCTTTAGCTTTTCATTTATTAATAATTAGTAATTGATATTAAATTATGCTTACTAAATGTGTATGTAAATCTACAAGACTGCTTCTGCCTTGAGGACTTTGAGGGGGCTTGGAATTATGTGTTTAATGTCAAGGTTGAAGCAGTCCTCAAATAATGGAGGCATGAGATCAAACATGAAACCTATGACAGGTATGAGGAGGACTAGCAGAGGTTTTTAAACCTCGATGACCGAGTTAACGAGATTTATTTCACGGCTCTCCTCATGTATTGGGACAACGATGCCACCAAGGTTAGTTTCATAAAAATTACTTTATAATTTTAAGATATTATTTCATTGCATATTTACTGAATTTTTTTGAAGAATAAATCCACGAAGGGGTCAGAAAATAGAAGAAAGAAGCCGCATGACCACCACTTGGGCTCACACTCCTATGCCAATCTGGAGGATGTTTATTGTCAAGATACGATATATGACATTTAAAGCTTTAAATGATCTTAATGCTTAGTATGATTATGAAATCTCATAATTTGTAATATGACAGGAAAAATCTTTAACGCCGATACACTTGAGGGAAAAAGCGGCATATGGTACTTTCCGTGATAAATATAGGGGTGATGAGAAGAATCGGGATAAGATCAAGGGATAAGATCAAGGCAAATCTCGAGTTGGCGATGAGACTTATACATATCTTGAGCAGTATTATTAACTCTATTTCGTTGTTAATATTACGAGGAAACGAGAACACAAATAATATGTTCTTTACATTGAATTAACTATATATTTGTGCTTTAGGAGGGATTTGAGACCGTATCCAAGGAGGATGCATCTGTGTACATTTCGCAGGAGGAGGAAAAAACCGAGCCGGACCCTCACATGCTTTCTGCAGAGGAGAACATCACTCTCACACAGAACCTGATGGGTCATAATAGGTATGGATGGTAAAAATTCGAATCAATTTGAATACTATGTTCCTATTTATATTTGTTTAACATTATTGAATTGAAGAGCAAAATTTAATATTATTTCTCCCTAATAATAGGAGAGGAAGATATCCTCTGCATGGTGTTGGAGCTTCACCCGGCATAAGCATGAGATCATCCACAGCATCCTCCACGTCATCTACATCAATGAGAGCAGCCCAAGCAGTTTCCAATCTATGTTATTTTTTGCATTTATCTCTGCGTATTTGATTGACAAGATTGACCCGGAGCTGCATATTCAGGTGACTAATGAGATGACTAGAATTTGATTGACAAGATTGACCCGGAGCTGCATATTCAGGTGACTAATGAGATGACTAGAGTTGCGCTGATGGCGAACTCGGCTGCATATTCAGGTGACTAATGAGATGACTAGAGTTGCGCTGATGGCGAACTCGATGGACGATCTCATGAGGTATGTTATACAATATTTAGGCGGTGCAATTCCTTATAGCGTGTATGGTGGTATCATACGGATCATAAGCTTGATTGTCGATAATTTCGGCGCTAGATAGAGCAACGCTCAGTTACCTTATTTTTTCTTATATTTATAAATTTATTTTTATTTAATATGTTATCAAACTCCACATAATGATTATTCAATTAAACATTCATAGTGGAGATATTGGAGGAAGCAGCACCCGTTCTCGTAACCGAGATAGAGATACTGCCGACGACGATAATAGATGAGGTTTTTTTATTTTTAATACAATAAATAGTTTTATTTGTTATAACACTACATTTATTCATGTCGTGTATCTTATCTTATTCATGTACATTGTTAGTATATATGCTGTTGGATGGATATATTAGACGGAATTGGTTGATGTATATTTTGGATTGGATGGTTGGATTTGTGCATTATGTTGGATTTGATTATATTTGGATGGTTGGATGTATTCATGTGTATAGTATTTATTGAATGTATTCATGTAATTGTACAGGGAAATACAAATTGTAAATAATTTTTTTGCTGAAAAAATATCGATCTAGACGGAATTTCGTCTAGGATGAATCAAACTAGACGGAATTCCGTCGAGGTTGTCATAATCAACCTAGACGAAAGTCCGTCTAGGTTGCCAACCTAGACGAAAGTCCGTCTAGGTTGCCAACCTAGACGAAAGTCCGTCTAGGTTGCCAACCTAGACGGATTTCTTACTTCCGTCTAGGTTGATATCCGTCTAGGTTGGTCAACCTAGACGGAATTTTGTCTAGTTTGTCCCAACCTAGACGGAGCAAACTAGACAGAATTCCGTCTACGTGTTCCAACCTAGACGGGAAATTGAGCAACCTAGACGGAAATTTCCGTCTACTAATGACTCTTTGAGAGTACACTTTATTTGATAGGAGATCAATCACCTTCTAACAATAAAGGTGGAACTCTCATCATAAGAACAGCCCTTTCATACCAAAGTAGACAAAAAAAATCAGGAATATTTTCATGAGACGACAATAATATTTGTGTGGTCAATGGAGGCATAATCACTTCCGTCGCCCACAATAGATCCCCAAAATCATAAAACTCTATAATACTTTTTTGTTTTTCCAACAAAAATTAAGTTTTTCCATCAAAAATCAACTCTGTTCATTTGATAAAAATACCTAATGAATTGTCAATTTGCACTTATAGATTACTAATTTGTAACTTTATCAGAAAAAAAAATGAAAGAAACTCTAATACATCATTGAACATAAGCAAATTGTCAAACCGTTTGAAAATTTGTGCTTTCATGATTGGTTTTTCTATCTATATGTGGGCGCTCTCTCTTGTAACTTTATCATTAAAAAAACAGAGAGATAGTACAATCTAATTATCTAACCTAAGTGATGATAAGGTTTTGCCCATACGAAACCATAAGCGTGGCAATCTTCATCTGCAGCCTCAATGTTAGTTGGAAATATTGCAGACTGAGTATACAAGTGGTTGAGGGCAATTTGACAATAGCTAATCATAACTTTGAAAGGATAATAAGGCAATCTACAAATCAAATCATGGCCTATTATTATACGGATCTTTCTTAACTATTTATTTTATTAAGTTTTATTCGGCAAGGGAATGCTAATTAAAATAGAGTAAATTTTGAAAACGAATACATTTGCTGCCGTTCAGTTTGACAATTGAAAATTGATGAAAATTAATTGGACGGAGGAAACGTGGTTAATTTCACATGGACCCCTCATACTGCTGTCAAGTTTCATATTGACGGACACACCCTCTAAAATTTAACTAAATGCTTCGTGTATGTCGAATAGTGCACTACTTTCAAAATTGTTAATGAGTGGTAATACATGATTCATTCTAAAATTCTAGTATCCATGAGTTACCTTATTAACATTTGATACTCAAATTAAAAAAACAATTATTAGCTAAACAAATCAGGTGATGTTGATAAAGGAAACGATCTCTCCCTATATAGGTATTTGTGGTGGAGAGATATGAATCCCACCGTTATATTATAGACGGAACCACATAAGCTGCAGGATTCAACAACACCAACAAAGCCATGGGAGACCCAGCAGCAGCAGCAGCAGCAGCAGCAGTGGCAATCACTTACTCACCACCCTCGACGTCTCCTGTCTCCTTCCCGGCACAGGTCCCACCTCAACCAGATCCCTCCCTCCTCGCTTCGCACAGAGCGCCTCCCTGCCAAAGCCTCCTCGTCACCTTTCTCGCTCCACTACTTTCAATCGGCAACAGTCATCTTCAAACCCCCCCTCTGACTCCCGATTTCGCGTGGGCTAAAGTCTCATCCGCTTCGAGTTCTTCTGCCACCGATAATGGGAACTCGATTGACCCCCGCCCGCTTCGACATCGACTGCGACGACTTCCTCCCCCAACTAAAATCGGCCGGCTACTCCGCCCTCTCCGACATAATCCACCGCCACGCTGTGAACGGCAACCCTGTCTCCTGCATCATCAACAACCCATTCCTCCCTTGGGTTCTTGATCTCGCTCAGGAGCTCGAAATTCCGTCCGCGGTACTTTGGATTCAGTCCTGCGCGGTGTTTTCGACGTACTACCATTTCTATCACTCCCTGCAGGGGGAATTCCCGTCGCTGGATAATCCTGACGGCGTGGTCAGTCTTCCTGGTTTACCGGAATTGAAACCCGACGAGCTTCCGACGTTCGTGCTGCCGTCTAATCCCTTCAAAACTGTGGCTGAGATATTCTTCGCCCAGTTTGAAAACATGCATAAAGCCACTTGGGTCTTCGCTAACTCCTTCGAGGAGTTAGAGCGGGAGGCGATCCGCGGCGTCTGTGACCGCCAGCGGATTATTCCGGTAGGTCCGCTGGTCGACGGAGCGGACTCCGATGGAGTCAAATCCGACATGTGGACAGCTGCGGACTGTATGGGCTGGCTCG